AATGTTCTGTTATCATTCTCACCCTCATATTGTTCCAAACTTGATGTTACGTCTGTGGAACACAAACGTAGATATTTCCCTGTCATTGTATCTGTTTCGTTTAGGCTTACTGAAAGTGAATGGTGACTGAGTCTGTCATTCTATCTAACATCATCTTCTGTGCTCTACGAAAGAAAGACAGTCATACAGCATGAGGCTGAGTAAAGGACAATACCATGGACAATACCATGATATTTCATTGGAAGATCATTGTAGGGAAAACATAAAGAGTGATTCAGTAATCTCATCCATTTAGTCACAGAAGCATCTTAATGCAGCTTACCTCAATATTTCCACTGTAGAAGGAACACTTATTCTATTGATTATGCTCTTCAATAGGCTGTATGTGCTTAGATGTATGTGACACTCCAATCTCAAGTCATGTTAGTTGTAATTGTGCACGCATCCCTCAAGAACAGGGCTCTGGTACTGGTGGTCACCCTGTTTAGATGATGCTACAAAGGCGTGGGATTGTGGGGGTTGGCAAAGCTAACCGCTTACTCCAGTTTATGATTATCCAAATTTGACTTATATTAGTAATCATACCTTGTCACAAAAAAGAGTCAGAGGGTTTGATTATGACAGTTGCCTGACAAATTCAAACCAAATGTTTCTCGCATGTGTGTCTCAGCATTTATGAGACTTGAGTCCACAACTCGCCCCCGTCCAAACTGAATCAATGTCTCTCAGATGTATGTGACAGAAAGGAACACTAATGTTTTAGATATGCCTATTTGAGCATCCTAATTTACATACTGGAAAGGAATGGAATGGACTTTTGCTAAATGTTTTGAAGTAAGCATGTAGTGTGTTGCGTGATCTTGTTGACATGTTTCCGAGAACAAGTTACAGATATTAATCTCACTCATTTCACATGTGAAATGATTTTTTTGATCGCAGTGATATTCTATTATTTATCATTGATTATATGATTCTTCATTCATTTGTGGTAGTCTGTTTTGAATATAGGTTGAAATATGAAGACAACATTTCATCTGTTAAAAATAGTCATTGATTAGGTGCTTATTTCATGTCAACTGCAGTGGCAGAACATGCTTGATTTTACGGTAAATGAGGTGATGTTGCAGAAAATGTAAAAATATTTAAACCTACCTATATTATTCTTTTATATCTTTTTGAGAATAGTGATTTTTGTTTTTCTGAGGAAGCATATTCTTTTTAATCATTTACTCGTGCACAGGTTTTTTAGTAGGAACATAGTGCTGCTGCTTATTTTCAGGTCTCAGTTATAAGGATTTTCTTCTTTCAGACCAGTAGTCGGATTTATACTCATGCTGCTTGCTTTTTTGAATGAAGCAAAACTATTAAAACTATTCACTTTCCAGCAAAAGTGGTTAAGCCATGAGCCTTACCAATTACTGTAATCACGCTGATAACAAAACTTGATAGCATGTCAAAGGGTTAATTAGCTATTTTTCCCTCTGAACCCCATATACTAATCTAGACAAGGTTTTGTTGCCATGTTATCATACAAGATAAAGTTACCTGGGTGATACCTTTAATACAGCAGCATTCGCATTATACTGTACAATTCAGAAAGATCAGGAGAATGTTATGGCCATGCAGCCAGTGAGTTGGCAAGGCATCACACATGTACATGATGAACATCTTAAGAACTCCGCACATGTCCAATGGGACAAAATCTCTCTACCATGCCTAATTAAATTGTTCTTTGG